TTAAATTTTCAGCATCTTCGGTTAACGTTGTATCTATGGTAGATGGGGTAGTGAAATTTTTTGTATCTATGGTGGAAAAATTATATTCTGAGCCTTTGGCGGGTGTGATAGTTTCATCAAGTTGTTCAAACTTCATTTTGTTGTTTCGGCTGTTTGTGTTTATATCAGTTAGAAACACTCCGGTTGTTGTCTGGTCGTACATTGTTTCCTGAAACGACTTTCCGTCATAGGTCGATGTTGAGGATAGTATTGATAATGATCTTGTTGTCGTCGTCATCATCATCGTCATCATCATCATCATCATCATTTCAAGCTTTGTAGTCGTCATCATTATTATAGGTATTATTGTTATTGTTCTCTTTATGTGACTTTAAAATACTAGAGAAACAAAATAGTTAAAAGGTCAAGGATGAATATTATTATTTGAAAGGATAATTTTATTAATTTTTTTAAAGGAAATTCAATTCATTTTATTTTATTGGAAAAATTAAATATTTTTCAAATGTCTTTTATTTTATATAAAGTGAGAATCATTGATAAGAAATTTGTATTGTAGAATGATTGCAAAATAAAATACAGACCTTCTTCTGTATGATTATTAACCCGGTCAACACTTGGAAAACGCCAAAAAATATTTCGAATTTTTTTAAATAAAATAATAAACTTTCTCAGAATGATTAGAAATATATCAAAAATTAACAAATGTAGTTAGGACGTCAATTTGTTATAATTAACAAAAATTAATTATTTTATAAAATTATTTCATTAATTATTTCGAATTCAAAACAAAGTTGCGTTGTTGTTTTCGCGCCAACAACCAGACTCATAGTAAGTTTCCAGATAGCGAAATAGAAAAAATTTGACTTTGAAAATAGCAACAACAACAACAATGACGACAACAACAACAACAACAATAATAATAATAATTATTATGAAATTTATTAATAATAATATTATTATTATTATCGTTAAAAATACCTTAAACATTCGCAACAAACAATCCTCGCTAAGAATTTTGTTTAGTAATGCCACAATCCCACATGCTTAACACAATTACATTTAAATATGCATTTTCTGTCAATTTTCAAAATTTAAAAATGATTCTTAAACACTGTTTAATCAAAATAATTATAAAATTGCATCAAATATTTTTTTGTTATCTCACTATGTACTGTGTATTTTGTCACCTAGGCATGTTAGCGAAAAGTAGAAGGACGTGGTTTATGAGCATTAGGCTACGATGCCGCCTATGACGTTAATTGCAGTAGCAGTTGTGACATCAGTGGTGTGGTCGGTGGTAGAGCCTCCGGGCCCTCATGATAAATATTTTTATTACGATCAAGTTTGACAAAATCGGTATATATAGATTTTAATTTGAACCTGTTGCGGCCGGCTGAACAATAGCAAAATTTTGACAAATTCATATGGAAGATACACGTTTTAATATAAAAATCATGATGATATTATAGAAGAAGCACTGAGTTATAGATGAATAAACAAATAAATGATTGTTTTTTTATAATTGTTTTAAGAAATAATGCAAAACTGAAATAATACATAACGCTATTATATAGCAAATCAAAGTCGTTTATGGTAAAATGAAAATAAGAAAAGAAGCATCATCAGTCTTAGCAAAAAAATAGCATCAAAAATAATTCTCTCAGT